TCTACATCGTCTGGGGAAGCTGGGTGGAGAGAGTGGATCTACATCGTCTGGGGAAGCAGGGTGTGGAGAGAGTGGATCTACATCGTCTGGGGAAGCTGGGTGGAGAGAGTGGATCTACATCGTCTGGGGAAGCTGGGTGGAGAGAGTGGATCTACATCGTCTGGGGAAGCAGGGTGGAGAGAGTGGATCTACATCGTCTGGGGAAGCAGGGTGGAGAGAGTGGATCTACATCGTCTGGGGAAGCTGGGTGGAGAGAGTGGATCTACATCGTCTGGGGAAGCAGGGTGAGATGGAGAGAGTGGATCTACATCGTCTGGGGAAGCAGGGTGGAGAGAGTCTGGGGGAAGAGAGTGGATCTACATCGTCTGGGAAAGCAGGGTGGAGAGAGCGGATCTACATCGTCTGGGGAAGCAGGGTGGAGAGAGTGGATCTACATCTGTCTGGGAAGCAGGGTGGATGAGGGTGGAGAGAGTGGATCTACATCGTCTGGGGAAGCTGGGTGGAGAGAGTGGACTACATCGACTGGGAAAGTGGATCTACATCGTCTGGGGAGCAGGTGGAGAGAGTGGATCTACATCGTCTGAGGGAGGAGCGGATCTACATCGTCTCTGGGGAAGCTGGGGAGGTGGAGAGAGTGGATCTACATCGTGGGTGGAGAAGAGAGAGTGGATCTACATCGTCTTGGGAAGCATGGTGGAGAGAGTGGAAAGTTTGGTTGTCTGGGGAAGCTGGGTGGGAGAGTGGATCTACATCGTCTGGGGAAGCTGGGTGGAGAGTGGATCTACATCGTCTGGGGAAGCTGGGTGGGAGAGTGGATCTACATCGTCTGGGAAAGCGGATGTTTAGAGAGTGGATCTACATCGTCTGGGGGAAGCTGGGTGGAGAGAGTGGAGTGGATCTACATCGTCTGGGGAAGCTGGAAAGCGGTGGAGAGAGTGGATCTACATTGTCTGGGGGAGCTGGGTGGAGAGAGTGGATCTACATCGTCTGGGGAAGCAGGGTGGAGAGAGAGAGATGGATCTACATCGTCTCTGGGAAAGCAGGTGGAGAGAGTGGATCTACATTGTCTGGGAAGCTGGGGAGAGAGTGGATCTACATCGTCTGGGGAAGCTGGGTGGAGATAGTGGATCTACATTGTCTCGGGAAGGAGGGTGGAGAGAGTGGATCTACATCGTCTGGGAAAGCAGGGTGGAGATAGTGGATCTACATTGTCTCGGGAAGCTGGGTGGAGAGAGTGGATCTACATCGTCTTGGTAAGCAGGGTGGAGAGAGTGGATCTACATCGTCTGGGGAGGCTAGGTGGAGAGAGTGGATCTACATCGTCTGGGGGAGCAGGGTGGAGCTAGTGGATCTACATCGTCTTGGTAAGCTGGGTGGAGAGAGTGGATCTACATCGTCTGGGGAAGCTTGGTGGAGAGAGTGGAACTACATCGTCTTGGTAAGCTGGGTGGAGAGAGTGGATCTACATCTTCTGGTGAAGCTGAGTTGGGAGAGTGGATCTACATCGACTGGGAAAGCGGATGTTTAGAGGGTGGATCTACTTTGTCTGGGGAAGCAGGGTGCAGAGAGTGGATCTACATCATCTGAGAAAGCAGCTGTAGGGTGGATAGAGCGGATCTACATCGACTGGGAAAGCAGAGTGGAGAGAGTGGATCTACATTGTCTGGGGAAGCAGGGTGAAGAGAGCGTGGCTCTACATCGTCTGGGGAAGCTTGGTGGGGAGAGTGGACGTACATAGACTGTAAAAGCATGGTCCAAAGTGTGATGTACAGGGCCTCTTGAAGCAGGGTGGAGAGCGTGTGGATAATTTGGGTCGGGGGTAGGCGGGGTGGAATGCGTGTGGATAAACTGGGTCGGGGATAGCGGGGTGGAGAGCGGGTGCATAAACTGGGTCGGGGGTAGCGGGGTGGAGAGCGTGTGGACAAACTGGGTCGGGGGTAGCGGGGTCGGGGATAGCGGGTTGAGAGCGTGTGCATAAACTGGGGGTAGCGGCGTGGAGAGCGTGTGCATAAACTGGTCGGGGGTAGCGGGGTCGGGGGTAGCGGGGTCTGTGGATTTGCAGAGTGTGGGCACGTTTGGTAAGTGGATCTGCAGGTCAACTGAGGGAAGTCATTTAGACCATGTCGCACTTGCTAGGAGCAGCTAGGAGCCAGGTGCAGCCATGCTGTAGATGGATCGATGCTGTTACGTATTCATGACTGATATGACCAGCAGAGGCCGGCTCCACGTTTATGATTGCCTGCCCCTTGGGAGCCGAATCATATTCAGTCGAACTACATCAGCCGGGCTGCAGACGTGGTCAGACATCCCACTCAGATAACAGTGGGCAGAGAGAAGTAGTCCACCATTCCAAGTGGCAGGGGAGAACGTGTAACTTGTAGTAGCTGCTTACTTATTGTACCCACGAGACACGTAGATTTGCACGAAGTCATTGTCCTGGCGTACATTGTTTGACTTTTATCACGGTCAGTTGCCGCCAGTTGTCGATCAATATATCTGTTGCCTGACGACGATAACATGTAAATAACAAGTAATAAAATACTGGATTTTATCAATCGCAGTTTCACAAATTAAAATCTTACGATAAAAAAACGATCACATTGAATTGTATGAGACGCAGTCCTAAACACAAGCGTGGAGTAATTTCCTAGTAAGGACAATTAGACTACACAGTAGGGTTGGACGGGCGCTCTCACTGCCCCCGCTTGATGAGTGAATGTGTCGTGAAACAGCACTCTCAAAGCTGCAGAAACAGTACACACAGCACCAGTGATTTCAGTATTGGACGCAGAAATACTTCATTACAAACACCACCAACTCCTGGGAAATCACCGACACTTTCCTGATTTCCCCGCGGATAAATCCGGACCGAGTGCTGGCATATCCAATAGGACCCGCTCGATCTACGTTCTGGGGGCACGAGGTTGATGATTGTGTCAATCTTGTATTGTTCTCGTGGTACTTCTCTTGTCGGGATTATTTCAATGTGAATTAACGTGCAGCTTTTGGGAAAGACTGTTCCATGTTTGTTGGAATGGTGTCTATATTGCAAAGCTGGAATAAATATCTGCTTAAACTGTAAATAAATAACCTGAATGTTTTGCTAGCCCGAATGGCGTATATTAGGCCTGGAATAGTAGGGTATCAACCTGATTGTTGTATAATGAGCTGGAATGGTAGGGTATCAGCCTGATTGGTGTATGTTGGACTTGGAGTGGTAGGGAATCAACCTGATTGGTGTATGTTGGACTTGGAGTGGTAGGGTATTAACCTGATTGGTGTATGTTGGACTTGGAGTTGTAGGGTATCAACCTGATTGGTGTATGTTGGACTTTAAGTGGTAGGGTATTAACCTGATTGGTGTATGTTGGACTTGGAGTGGTAGGGTACCAACAAGGCGGTGTATACTGGTCATGGGATGGTAGGGTATCAACCTGATTGGTGTATGTTGGACTTGGAGTGGTAGGGAATCAACCTGATTGATGTATGTTGGACTTGGAGTGGTAGGGAATCAACCTGTTTGGTGTATGTTGGACTTGGAGTGGTAGGATACCAACAAGGCGGTGTATACTGGTCATGGAATGGTAGGGAATCAACCTGATTGGTGTATGTTGGACTTGGAGTGGTAGGGTACCAACAAGGCGGTGTATACTGGTCATGGAATGGTAGGGAATTAACCTGATTGGTGTATGTTGGACTTGGAGTGGTAGGGTACCAACCTGATTGGTGTATGTTGGACTTGGAGTGGTAGGGTACCAACCTGATTGGTGTATGTTGGACTTGGAGTTGTAGGGTACCAACCTGATTGGTGTATGTTGGACTTGGAGTGGTAGGGTACCAACCTGATTGGTGTATGTTGGACTTGGGGTGGTAGGGTACCAACAAGGCGGTGTATACTGGTCATGGAATGGTAGGGAATCAACCTGATTGGTGTATGTTGGACTTGGAGTGGTAGGGTACCAACCTGATTGGTGTATGTTGGACTTGGAGTGGTAGGGTACCAACCTGATTGGTGTATGTTGGACTTGGAGTGGTAGGGTACCAACCTGATTGGTGTATGTTGGACTTGGAGTGGTAGGGTACCAACCTGATTGGTGTATGTTGGACTTGGGGTGGTAGGGTACCAACAAGGCGGTGTATACTGGTCATGGAATGGTAGGGAATCAACCTGATTGGTGTATGTTGGACTTGGGGTGGTAGGGTACCAACAAGGCGGTGTATACTGGTCATGGAATGGTAGGGAATCAACTTGATTGGTGTATGTTGGACTTGGAGTGGTAGGGTACCAACAAGGCGGTGTATACTGGTCATGGAATGGTAGGGAATCAACCTGATTGGTGTATGTTGGACTTGGGGTGGTAGGGTACCAACAAGGCGGTGTATACTGGTCATGGAATGGTAGGGAATCAACCTGATTGGTGTATGTTGGACTTGGAGTGGTAGGGTACCAACAAGGTGGTGTATACTGGTCATGGAATGGTAGGGAATCAACCTGATTGGTGTATGTTGGACTTGGAGTGGTAGGGTACCAACCTGATTGGTGTATGTTGGACTTGGGGTGGTAGGGTACCAACAAGGCGGTGTATACTGGTCATGGAATGGTAGGGTATCAACCTGATTTGTGTATGTTGGACCTGGGGTGGTAGGGTACCAACTAGGTGGTGTATATTGGGCACGGAATGGTAGGGTACCAACTATTTGGTGTATGTTGGACGTGGGGTGGTAGGGTACAAACTAGATGGTGTCATTCACCTTCAACCTCACTCACTGCTCTATCTGACCCTTCTGACCCCACCGTCCTGCCTCGATCACCTTTCTGTCTCGATCACTATACTGGGTCGTTCACTGTTTTGACTTCAGTTCGCGATTCATCTGTGGCAGAGACAGTGAAGTATGTAGGAGTTGGACATGATCCCGATCATAGTTTTGACAACCATGTCAGTGATATTTAGTCGTGTCTGCTTTCTGCATCTGGCAATACTTTCTGACTACCCCATGTTATGTACTGCATTAGTCATTTTGGTGGGACTGTTTTCAACCCTCACCCTCACCCTCAACACTCCCCCTCCCACCTCAACACTCCCCGTCCCACCTCAAACTCTCCCCTCCCCCTCAACACTCACCCTCCAACCTCAACACTCTCCCTCCCACCTCAACACTCCCCTCCCTCCAACCCCTCAACACTCCTCACCCCCTCAACACTCAGCACCCTCCCACCTCAACCCCTCCACCTCAACACTACCCCTCCCCTCAAACTCCCTCCCCTCCAACCTCAACACTCACCCACCTCAACACTCACCTCCCCTCAACTCTCACCCTCCAACCTCCCACCTCACACACTCCCCTCAGCCCTAACCCTCCCCTCAACACTCACCCTCCAACCTAAACACTCACCCCCAACCTCAACGCTCCTCCCCTCAACCTCCGCCTTCCCCTCAACGCTCCCTCCCCTCAACCTCCCCTCCCCTCAAGACTCATCCTCCAACCTCAAGACTCATCCTCCAACCGCACTCCCTCCAACCTCAACACTCCGCCTTCCCCTCAAGCGCTCCCTCCCCTCAACTCTCCCTCCCCGTCAAGACTCATCCTCCAACCTCAAGACTCATCCTCCAACCTCAACTCTCCCCTCCCCTCAACGCTCCCCTCCCCTCACCCACCCTCCACCCTTCAACACTCACCCTCAACACTCAACACTCACCCACCTCAACACTCCCCTCCCCTCAACACTCCCCTCCAACCCCAACACTCACCTTACCCTCAACACTCACCCCCCAACAACCCCCTCCAACCTCAACACTCAAACCAAACCCCCCACCACCACACACACCAGACACACACTCACCCTCCAACCTCAAAGCTCACCCTCCCATGTCGAATATATACTACTTTGTTATCAGACACATGACATGTGTTCTATATTTAGCTTATGTATATTTCATATTTTCAAACATTTTTGAGAGAACTGGAAATATTTTTCCCAGTTAAAATAAAATACAATGTTACTGGTGAACACCTCGTCAGCTCCGTGGCAAACATGAGCAATCTTTGATCATCGTGAAACAGACCTTGCCAATGTGTTATCTCAAATTGCAGGGAAAGAAACTTTCATTAAAACTTTCGAATATGATATTCTGTTTATTTTCTAAAAACTGTCCGGAGATTATCATTTCATTAAAGGTTCGGTCATCGCATTTCGGAGACATCAGGGCCAATACACCTTCTTCAGTCGGCTTCAATTCAAAACTGATAGGCCCCCTGTTTGTTATATAATGTCACCCAGCGTACCATCTCGGCCAGCAATTGATATTTTCAATTTAATAGACCAAGTCACAACGGAGTTGTAATTTGACTTTTGAATTATCTGAGCACTGTAACATGACATAAACACTGCCTTCATTTTAGAAAATTCAATTTCGATAGCTTCATCTTGACTTCCCCGACTTCACGCTCATATTTCGTTCTAAATCCCCGAGCCGGCTGACGGAATGAACTGATGTCAGACACGATAAATTTGATGCTAGCTGCAATATTGTATTTTGCCCAGGGCATTCTGATAAAAGATGGCTTCATCACTGAAGCCCTCATCATCTTTCTCATTTAATTGTCTCCCCTGTCTGTGTTGAAGCACGTGCACGATGTACTGGCCTGGTGGCTGCATCTCGGCTAAATACCGTCATTACTGACAATGGCAGTATGGCAAGGTGATTAGGCTCAATTGGTTGGCACAAACACTTCGACGTCAGCATAAATCTTGTTAGTGATAATGAAATTACTTAATAGGTTTTCAGCCACCCGAGGTAGAAAACTGCACTTGTAAGGCTGGGGTTAAAGTTACACCATACCAAAACAATTGGGTAAAAGTAAAGATTACTGCCCATCCCTGCCCAACCTCTTTGCTTCTTATACCCCAGACCCTCCTCTCATGAAGATCGAAGAAAATTTAAGTGGGACTGCGGAAAGTAATAGTCGTGTATACTTTGAGAGAGACAGCTGACAGTGACGAGATCGTAGATACTTTGAGAGAGGCAGCTGACAGAGATCGTAGATACAGAGAGCGAGATCGTAGATACATTGAGAGAGACAGTTGGGAGTGACGAGATCGTAGATACATTGAGATAGACAGCTGACAGTAACGAGATCGTAGATACATTGAGAGAGACAGTTGGGAGTGACGAGATCGTAGATACATTGAGAGAGACAGCTGACAGTGACGAGATCGTAGATACATTGAGAGAGACAGCTGACAGTGACGAGATCGTAGATACATTGAGAGAGACAGCTGACAGTGACGAGATCGTAGATACATTGAGGGAGACAGCTGACAGTGACGAGATCGTAGATACATTGAGAGAGACAGCTGACAGTCGTAGATACATTGAGAGAGACAGATCGTAGATACATTGAGAGAGACAGCTGACAGTAACGAGATCGTAGATACATTGAGAGAGACAGCTGACAGTAACGAGATAGATACATTGAGGAGAGACATACGAGATCGTAGATACATTGAGAGAGACAGCTGACAGTGACGAGATCGTAGATACATTGAGGGAGACAGCTGACAGTGACGAGATCGTAGATACATTGAGAGAGACAGCTGACAGTGACGAGATCGTAGATACATTGAGAGACAGCTGACAGTGACGAGATCGTAGATACATTGAGAGAGACAGCTGACAGTGACGAGATCGTAGATACATTGAGAGAGACAGCTGACAGTGACGAGATCGTAGATACATTGAGGAGACAGCTGACAGACGAGATCGTAGATACATTGAGAGAGACAGCTGACAGTGACGAGATCGTAGATACATTTGAGACAGAGACAGATACATTGACAGCTGACAGTGACGAGATCGTAGATACATTGAGAGAGACAGCTGAGTGACGAGATCAGTAGATACATTGAGAGAGACAGCTGACAGTGACGAGATCGTAGATACATTGAGAGAGACAGCTGACAGTGACGAGATCGTAGATACATTGACAGTGACGAGACAGCATTGACAGTGACGAGATCGTAGATACATTGAGAGAGACAGCTGACAGTGACGAGATCGACGAGACATCGTGAGAGATAGATACATTGAGAGAGACAGCTGACAGTGACGAGATCGTAGATACATTGAGAGAGACAGCTGACAGTGACGAGATCGTAGATACATTGAGAGAGACAGCTGACAGTGACGAGATCGTAGATACATTGAGGGAGACAGCTGACAGTGACGAGATCGAGATCAGACAGCTGACAGTGACGAGATCGTAGATACAGCTGACAGTTGAGTGACGAGATCGTAGATACATTGAGAGAGACAGCTGACAGTGACGAGATCGTAGATACATTGAGAGAGACAGCTGACAGTAACGAGATCGTAGATACATTGAGGGAGACAGCTGACAGTGACGAGATCGTAGATACATTGAGAGAGACAGCTGGTAGATACATTGAGGGAGACAGCTGACAGTGACGAGATCGTAGATACATTGAGAGAGACAGCTGACAGTGACGAGATCGTAGATACATTGAGAGAGACAGCTGACAGTGACGAGATCGTAGATACATTGAGGGAGACAGCTGACAGTGACGAGATCGTAGATACATTGAGAGAGACAGCTGGGAGTGACGAGATCGTAGATACATTGAGAGAGACAGCTGACAGTAACGAGATCGTAGATACATTGAGAGAGACAGCTGACAGTGACGAGATAGTTGATAATTTGAGATAGACAGCTGACAGTAACGAGATCGTAGATACATTGAGAGAGACAGTTGGGAGTGACGAGATCGTAGATACATTGAGAGAGACAGTTGGGAGTGACGAGATCGTAGACAGTTTTAGCGGGGTTGGTGGAAGTAACGTGATCGAGGATAAGCTGGATTGCGAGAAATAATGTGAACATGAACAATTACAGCGGGACCCTGGAGGTAACGTGATCGTAGAAAATCTAGAAAGGGATTGATGTCAGTGACGGACACAAAACGGGACTTACAGACATGGCGACTTCATGGATGTCGTAAACAGGGACGATCATACAGACATGGCGACTTCATGGATGTTTTGCAACAGGGACGATCTTACAGACATGGCGACTTCATGGATGTCGTAAACAGGGGCGATCATACAGACATGGCGAGTTCATGGATGTTTTGTCAACAGGGACGATCTTACAGACATGGCGACTTCATGGATGTTTTGTCAACAGGGACGATCTTACAGACATGGCGACTTCATGGATGTCGTAAACAGGGCGATCTTACAGACATGGCGACTTCATGGATGTTTTGTCAACAGGGACGATCTTACAGACATGGCGACTTCATGGATGTCGTAAACAGGGACGATCTTACAGACATAGCGACTTCATGGATGTTTTGTGAACAGGGGCGATCTTACAGACATGGCGACTTCATGGATGTTGTCAACAGGGACGATCTTAGAAACATGGCGACTTCATGGATGTTGTAAACAGGGACGATCTTACAGACATGGCGACTTCATGGACGTTGTAAACAGGGACGATCTTACAGACATGACGACTTCATGGATGTCGTAAACAGGGGCGATCTTACAGACATGGCGACTTCATGGATGTTGTCAACAGGGACGATCTTAGAAACATGGCGACTTCATGGATGTTGTAAACAGGGCGATCTTACAGACATGGCGACTTCATGGACGTTGTAAACAGGGACGATCTTACAGACATGGCGACTTCATGGATGTTTTGCAACAGGGACGATCTTACAGACATGACGACTTCATGGATGTTGTAAACAGGGTCGATCTTACAGACATGGCGACTTCATGGATGTTGCCAACAGGGACGATCTTACAGACATGGCGACTTCATTGATGTTTTCAACAGGGACGATCTTACAGACATGGCGACTTCATGGATGTCGTAAACAGGGGCGATCTTACAGACATGGCGACTTCATTGATGTTTTCAACAGGGACGATCTTACAGACATGGCGACTTCATGGATGTCGTAAACAGGGACGATCTTACAGACATGGCGACTTCATGGATGTTGTAAGGAGAATTATTTAGCGGGACTGGTCAACAAACTGCGCGACAAACAGCGTGCAACAGGGACGATCTTACAGACATGACGACTTCATGGATGTTGTAAACAGGGTCGATCTTACAGACATGGCGACTTCATTGATGTTGCCAACAGGGACGATCTTACAGACATGGCGACTTCATTGATGTTTTCAACAGGGACGATCTTACAGACATGGCGACTTCATGGATGTCGTAAACAGGGACGATCTTACAGACATGGCGACTTCATGGATGTCGTAAACAGGGACGATCTTACAGACATGGCGACTTCATGGATGTCGTAAACAGGGACGATCTTACAGACATGGCGACTTCATGGATGTTGTAAGGAGAATTATTTAGCGGGACTGGTCAACAAACTGCGCGACAAACAGCGTGCGGGACAACTCAATATATACATATGTGTCTATATATATACATATGTGTCTAAATATAGATATCTCGACTCCAACAGGTGCTACAACACTAAGCCACCCCCGCTTCCAAATCATGTCCTAAAGGTGGGTAGGGGGGACAACTCCTGTAGGTGAGATCAAGCCTTCATCCGGGCATGTGCTGATGGAGAGAAATAAGGGAACAGTCAGGAAAGGAAATGATGGCGTGCACGTTCGTGGAATCTCGGTAGCGAGCCAGACATTTCAAATAATCTGAAAGAGCACACGAGCCACTTTCATTCTGTCTGGTTGTCGTTTTTGATGATATGATGCACTGTCATGAAACAATAGATATGTTTTAATCTGAATTCGTAAAAAGTATTTTCGGGAAATCGGTACGGTCAAAATGTCTAAGATAAAACAATAGCTCCAAATTATCCTTGAAGCTAGGTGGACAGGATGGGTGTACAGAGGTTCACACACACCACTTGTCATGGGAGAACCGAGTTAACTCTAATATAATAAAAAGGCATACATTGAACATTTCGAAGTTGAAAAAACTAATTTGAGGACAGTGTGAGTGATTACAGGAGAGTCCGTATACATCTGTACATTGTGCAGGAAACACGTACAATTTCACAAAAGAAACATTTTCTTTGGAGTTTTTCATTTGATCAATAAAGGTCATATTTTATCATCCAACTCATGCCGCACCTCACAAACACCTTAGGCAATTAGAGAAAACATAAGTGGCCCGGGGGATGAGAAGTCTATAAAACGGCTACTTTTTAGTAAACTGTTACCAGGAGAAGCTTGCCTGAAATTGCCTTTTACTTCAGGAAATGTTTTCCAACTTGTGAATGTTATAGTTTTTAACTGGCCAATGGAGGGTTTAATTGAACAAGGGAATAAAGAGCCTCTCTGTGTTCTCCGATATGAAGCCCTCTCGGCGGGAGGCAGGGGAGGTCGCCCCGGCCACCTGTGAGGCCCTACCCCTGCATTGCCGGATGCAAGACCCCATGGACGCGTGCGCATCAAAGCAGTATTGTTGACGAGTCGATGGAGTCGTCTGCTCGGCACGCGACAACAGTTCCGGGTTTAATGGCAAAGGCGCGCAGCGATTGGTTGCAGTGCACCTGCATCCGTACTGATATCG